CTAAACCCTGAACCCTAAACCTTGGGATAGACAAGGAGCTCTATGAGGGCTTCGGGCTTAGGAAGTTTAGGCTTGGGCTGCTAGGCTTGCGGAAGGGGGTGTCACACTTGGGGCTTAGGATTTAGGGCATAGGGTTTAGGGTTTAGGGTCCTTGGGGTCCCCTGTCGGTCAGAATCCCCCTCTAACTTTTGGGGCCCTTAGACTTGGAATCCTACGTAATATCATACTACAGTCTGGTAAAGTATACTGTGCTACACTATACTATACTTTACTTTGTTGTACTATACTATACTATACCACTTGCCAACCCTAAACCCTGAACCCTAGACTCTAAACCCCAAACCCTACTTGCGTACCTCATTACCTGTAATTTTGCCGCCTGGGCCGTGCGCCGCCCGAGCTCTCAGCCCTCAACGCAGGCCTTCAATCCTGAATCCTCAATCCATGAGGGTTTGTAAAGCTTCGGGTCTGGGGCGGTTTAGGGTTTGGGGGTTTAGGCGTTTAGGGTTTAGGGTTTAGGGGTTCGGGGGGTTTAGGGTTTAGGGGTCTAGGGGGTTTATAAGCTTCGGGTCTAGGGCTTGGGGTTTTGGTTCAGGGTCTAGGGCTTGGGGTGTAGGGTGAAGGGTCTAGGGCTTGGGGTTTAGGGTTTAGAGTTTAGGTTTTAGGGTTTAGGGTTTGGACCCTAAACCCTAAACCCTATATCCTAAACCCTAACCTTAAACTTAAACCCTAAACCCTAAACCCTCAACCCTGGCTTGACCCTAAATCCGACGAGCCCTGGACCCCCAAGCCCTAAATTCCCATGCCTGGTCCCAGGGAATCGAGGGCTTCAACATTTTGGGGTTTCGCGAAGATAGGGGAACCCTAATATAGCACCCTAAGTAGTAGGGGTTTAGGGTTTAGGGTTTGGATAAGGACCCCAGAGTAAGGTACCCCTAATTCTCGGAAACTGCCATTTTGGGCGTCGAGTGTTTTTGTTGGAGGAATCCCGGTGCCAGAGCCAGAATGAGAGTTCTGCAGTGATAGCGGTGACCGGCCTGGTCCCATGGCAACTCGTAATTGACTCGTAATGGTGACAATAGACAGCGCAGTGATCAAGTTAACGTTAATGGCAAGAACGTAGTCGCAAAAAGGGCTCGTGACGGCATCTGACAATAACCGTAAGAGTACGAAGAGTACTACATTGATCATGACGGTAGATGCGAAGTATAATGACAACACCATCGGTAATTAGTAACCGTACTAACTATACTAATACTGCAAACCCTAAGCCCTAAACCCTAACAAGTCAAAAAGCACTGTGAACCGCTCAAGCGGGGCCCGGGCCGAGAAGACATGCGAGGTCTTCTCCCGCGCCTCGCACCTGACGATGCCCGTGGCGAAAGGGTGGAGGATGTGACATAGAGTTTGGCGGTATATTGGTATGTTGAGACTCAACCCTAAACCCTGAATCCCAAACCCTGAACCCTGATTAGATTCAAGTCATCGTGGCCAATTGTGCTCAGGCATCGGCTTCACGACCACATGCTCCTCTGCCAAAGGCTCTTCTGCGATACCATGCAGGTCGTACCTCAGGTGCACTTGCAAGAATCGCCGAGCTCGCATAGTATAGGACATCGTATTTAGCATCTAATATCTAGTATTTAATATATAGTAATGCTATATCGTGTATGGCATGCTTCTAAAGGCCCGGCTCGTAGGTCTCGTTGGTACCCACGTTGTATAGCACCAGCTGCGCCTCGCAATGCAAACAGCCATCGCCCTGCCCCGAGTCGAGGGTGAACTGTACACTATATGCCATGCCCATATACTCATATACTATATGTTTGCACTATATAACATACCGCACACAAAATACTGGATACTACATACTGTAGCCTGTACACTGTATATACTGCATACTGTACACGGCCTACTGTCCACCGTCTACCATATTATATACTAGAGTACTGTAGCAGCTGCCCAGCCTTTACATCGCAGACCCACTCGGGCTTGAAGGTCAGCGGATACGTCGTCACAGTGGCCTGCCCGGTCGCCTTTGAGAGTGCTGGCCCTATGCTCGCCAAAACCCCAAGGGCTTCAGAGGGCTCCTTTAAGGGCTCCTTTCAGGGCTCCTTTCAGGGCTCCTTTAAGGGCTCCTTTAAGGGCTTCTTTCAGGGCTCCTTTAAGGGTTTAGAAGGGTTACTGTAGTCACCGTAAGGGGTTCCAGTAGGGTTACGAGGAAGGCGCTCGAAGTCCAACTCTAAGCGCCGGACGCCCTTCTTCTTGGCGAAGAACTCGCGGGGCCCGTCGAATTCATGTCCGATCTGCGAAAAGGTCGGCTTGATCGCCTTGGCACGGCTTCAGGATAAATCCCTGGACTTCCAGAAATTAAGGGTGTAGGGTTTAGGCAACTTCAGAATGAATCACGGGAAGGGACCCTAGTATAGAACACTGATAAATCCGTGTTCGGCGGCCCCAAATTTTTCGGACATTTCCTGCTCGAAAGAAGGGCGTGGCCTCTGCACCCAAGTGGCCCATTCTCTGTCCGTCGGGTTCACGATGGGAATCTCCTGTCGGATGAAATGGCCTAAGGTGGTCCATAAGGTTTAGGGCTGAGGGTTTATAAAGGTTAGGGCTCAAAGTTTTTGTTTTGGGTTTAGGGTTTGGGGAGTTGACGTGGCTTCAGGTCTTCCTGCACGGTTCCTCAACCCTGAACCCAAAACCCAAAACCCCGAACCCAAAATCCAAAACCCTAAACCCTGAGCCCCAAACCCTATACCCTAAACCCGAAACCCTAAACCCGAAACCTCACCCCTAAACCCTAAACCCTAAACCCTAAACCCTAAACCCTAAACCCTAAACCCTAAACCCTAAACCCTAAACCCTAGATGGTGTGGAACTTGCCTCTGCCCCTTCAGCCCCGGTCCTGCGTGATCGGCTTCCTGGGACCCACGGTTTGGGGTTTAGGGTTTGGGGTTTGGGGTTTACGGTTTGGGGTTTGGGGTTTAGGGTTTAGGGCTTCAGGTTTGGGGTTTCGGGTTTGGGGTTTCGCGTTTAGGGTTCAGAATGTGCGCAGTTTCCAAATCCCTGTGCCCAGAAGCATGGCCACAGGATCGGCACCAGCACCCGGTTTGGGGTTTAGGGTTTAGGGTTTAGGGTTTGCATTGTATTCCAGCGAAACTGGTAATCTCCGACTGCTGCGCCGCATCACCGCTACTTATTTTTGTCCATGTCCGACTTCTGCAAGAGGCGTGCAATCTCCAGGTGTCCTCTCTGAGCTGCGATGACCAATGGGGTGGCGCCATCCTGCCTGGCCTTGTCCTTGTCCACATTGTTCTCCAGCAAAAGGCGTGCAACCTCCAATCGCCCTTTCTGAGCTGCAATGAACAACAGCGTGCTGCCATCCTGCCTGGCCTTGTCCTTGTCTGCTTTGGCCTCCAGCAAAAGGCGTGCAACCTCCAGCTGCCGCTTCTGAGCTGCAATGAACAACGGGGTGGCGCCATTCTGCCTGGCCTTGTCCTTGTCTGCTTTGGCCTCCAGCAAAAGGCGTGCAACCTCCAGCTGCCCTTTCTGAGCTGCAATGAACAAGCGCCATCCCGCGTGGCCTTGTCCTTGTCTGCATTGGCCTCCAGCAGAAGGCGTGCAACCTCCAGCTGCCCTTCGTGAACTGCGATGAACAATGGGGTGGCGCCATCCTGCCTGGCCTTGTCCTTGTCTGCTTTGGCCTCCAGCAAAAGGCGTGCAACCTCCAGCTGCCCCCCCTGAGCTGCAATGAACAACGGCGTGCCGCCATCCTGCATGGCCGTGTCCTTGTCCGCATTGACCTCCAGCAAAAAGCGTGCAACCTCCAGCTGCCCTTGGTGAGCTGCAATGAACAACGGGGTAGCGCCATCCCGCGTGGCCTTGTCCTTGTCTGCATTGGCCTCCAGCAACAGGCGTGAAAGTTCCAGCTGCCCTTCGTGGGCTGCGATGAATAACGGCGTGCCGCCATCCTGCCTGGCCTTGTCCTTGTCCGCATTGGCCTCCAGCAAAAGGCGTGCAATCTCCAGCTGCCCCTCCTGAGCTGCAATGAACAACGGCGTGCCGCCATCCCGCGTGGCCTTGTCCTTGTCTGCAGTAGCCTCCAGCAAAAGACGTGCAACCTCCAGCTGCCCTTGGTGAGCTGCGATGAACAATGGGGTGGCGCCATCCTGCCTGGACTTATCCTTGTCCGCATTGGCCTCCAGCAAAAGGCGTGCAATCTCCAGCCGCCCGTACTCAGCTGCAATGAACAACGGGGTAGAGCCATCCAGCGTGGCCTTGTCCTTGTCTGCATTGGCCTCCAGCAAAAACCGTGAAAGTTCCAGCTGCCCTTCGCGAACTGCGATGCACAATGGGGTGCCGCCATCCTGCCTGGCCTTGTCCTTGTCCACATTGGCCTCCAGCAAAAGGCGTGCA